GAATCCGTGCCTAGCTTCTCAGAAGGAGAGTGGTGAGCACTCTGGAATGGAGCAGAGGCCTAGGAGGCACCAGTCACGGGATCAGTTCAGTCGCTCAGTTGTGTCTGACTCCCTGTGACCGCATGAATCGCAGCACCCCAGGCCTCCCTGTCCATCACCAACTCCCTGAGTTTACTCAAGCTCATGTCCATCGAGTTGGTGATGCCATCCAGTCATCTCATCCTCTGTCATCCCCTTCTCCTGCCCCCAATCCCTCCCAGCATCAGGGTCTTTTCCAATGAGTCAGCTCTTCACATCAGGTGGCCAAAGTATTGGAGTTTCAGCTTCTGCATCAGTCCTTCCAATGAACACCCAGGACTGATCTCCTTTAGGATGGACTGGTTGGATCTCCTTGCAGTCCAAGGGACTCTCAAGAGTCTTCTCCAACACCACAGTTCAAAAGCATCAATTCTTCAGTGCTCAGCTTTCTTTATAGTCCAACTCGCACATCCATACATGACCACTGGAAAAACCAAAGCTTTGACTAGATGAACCTTTGTTGGCAAAGTAATGTCTCTGCTTTTTAATATGCTGTCTAGGTTGGTCATAACTTCCCTTCCAAGGAGTAAGTGGCTTTTAATTTCATGGCTGCAATAACCATCTGCAGTGATTTTGGAGCCCAAAATAAAGTCTGACACTGTTTCCACTGTTTCCCCATCTATTTCCCATGAAGTGATGGGACCGGATGCCATGATCTTAGTTTTCTGAATGTTAAGCTTTAAGCCAACTTTTTCACTCTCCTCTTTCACTTTCATCAAGAGGCTCTTTAGTTCCTCTTCACTTTCTGCCATAAGGATGGTGTCATCTGCGTATCTGAGGTTATTGATATTTCTCCCGGCAATCTTGATTCTAGCTTGTGTTTCCTCCAGCCTAGCATTTCTCATGATGTACTCTGCATGTAAGTTATGGATTGTGTATTAAAGTAAAATGCTACTTCTGCTATGACAAGAGACTCCTACCTATATTAGCTTAAAGAAGGAAGGAGACTTCCTCTTTCCTGCCAGAGTCCGATGGGAGTGCTCCATGTTGGTGGCTTGTTCTGCTCAAGAGGCATTCGAGGATCCAAGTTCCTTGTATCTTTCTGATTTTTGTGGGGGAAGCTCTCTGCCTCCAGTCAGTAGCACACACTTCTCTTCCTCATCACTTCTTTTTCTTTCTTTTCCTTTTTAAAATAGATCTATCCAATTATTTTTATTTAATTTTTTTCTTTTTGAACCCTTTTATTGTGAAATATAAAACACAGATAGGAGGGACTTCTCTGAGGGTCCAGTGGTTAAGACTTTGCCTTCCAATGCAGGGGGTACGTGTTTGATCCCTGGCTGGGAAGCTAAGATCCCATATGCCTTGTGACTGGAAAACCAAAACATAAAACAGAATCAGGATTGTAACAAATTCAATATAGATTTTTAAAAAGGTCCATAGAAAAATATCTTTAAAAAAAAAACACATTTAGGAAAGTGAATACAACATAAACATATAGCTTAATGGATTACATAATGACCAACAAGTTAATATACTGAATACTAAATCCAGAAATTAACCATCATTGGTAACCCAATGCTGGGAAGGATTGAAGGCAGGAGGAGAAGGGGACGACAGAGGATGAGATGGTTGGATGGCATAAGTAACTTGATGGACATGAGTTTGAGTAAGCTCCTGGAGTTGGTGATGGACAGGGAGGCTGGCTGAGCTGCAGTCCATGGGGTCGCAAAAAATCCGACATGACTGAGCGATTGAACTGAACTGGTGCCCCCAAAACCTGCCCCCAGCAGGCCTCTTCCCAGTCATAGTCTCCTCTCCCCCAAAATGGTAACCACTATTTAGACTTCCATAGTTATCTTACCTTTCTCTTCTGAGGGTTTAAAACCTAAGAAGGCAAGCCTCAGCACTGTACGGTTCACCTTGAACGACGCTTAGGGGCACTAACTCTCCAAACGGTCAAAAAGCAAAGGGTAACTTGTAGCTGACCCTCTGTATGCGAGGTTCCTGGTAACCATGCTCCTGTTATTTTTATTAAAGAAGCTTTATTTTCTGGTATAGTTGATTCAGAAAGTTGCATTACTTTCAGATGTACAGCAAAGTGAATCATTGCGCGTAAACACATTCCCACTCTTTTTCAGATTCTTTTCCCGTTTAGGCCATTGCAGAATATTGAGTAGAGTTCCTTGTGCTACAGAGCAGGTCCTTGCTAGTTATCTGTTTTATGTATAGTAGGGTGTATGTGTCAATCTTGAAAGTGAAAGTGAAGTCGCTCAGTCATGTCCGAGTCTTTGTGACCCCAGGGACTGTAGCCCACCAGTCCTCTGTCCATGGGATTCTCCAGGCCAGAACACTGGAGTGGGCTGCCACGCCCTCCTCCAGGAGACCTTCCCCACCCAGGGGTTGAACTCGGGTCTCTTGTGTCCCCTGCACTGTGGGCAGATTCTTTACCACCAGTGCCACCTGGGAGGCCTACGTATGTGAGGGAAGCCCTGCGTGTGTGAAGTGTGACAGACAGCTACTGGGAAGCGTCTGTGCCACACAGTGGGCTCCGCTCGCTAGAGCTGGGGGCTGAGCGGGGAGCGGGAGGGAGCTGCAGGAATGAGGGGTATGTGGTGCCTCAGACAGCGAAGAACTGGCCTGCGGTGCGGGAGAGCTGGGTTCAGCCCCTGGCCGGGAAGGTCCCCTGGAGGAGGGCATGCCAACCCGCTCCAGTGCTCTTGCCTGGAGAATCCCACGGACAGAGGAGCCTGGCGGGCTGCAGTCCACGGGGTCGCAGGGAGTCGGACGAGACTGGGCGCCCAAGCACAGCGCGTATCTTATTCACGTTGTTGGGCGGCAGAATCTAGCGCAGCATTGTAAAGTGCTTGTACGCTAATGAAAAAAAAAAGCTAAGAAGCTCTCACAGAATTAGAAGACTTTTTTTTCCATAGAGAAGTGTAGAGACTAAACAAAGTACGACTTGTCTGTTGAGTGGCACTGTGTGAAGCCTTCCCTGACGCCGGCTCCTCAGGCTGGGCTGGAGTTCTTGCTTCTCATCCCCGGCCAGCCCTAGGACCCCCGCCTTTATCCCATCGTCACGGCGCTCCTTCTGTCTCTGATGGTTTGAGCTCGAGTCTTCCCTCCCCCGCTATGCTTTAAGCAGGACCCACTGAACAGGCCTTAGCTGTTGGGCGCCTGCATGAATGCATGCCCTTCTGTCCCGTCCTTCTCGTCTCCCTCCCCTCCTCCTGGAGGGTGTCCGGGCTGCTCCGGGCAGGGTCACTGTCTCACACTTTCCCCAGCCTGTGAGGGAAGCTGTCCCACCAGGTGTACGCAGACAGGTTCTTTAACTTCAAAGTCTTTGGCGACTCTCCGGCCCTAGATGAGCCAAGATGACACAGAGGACTTGGGAACTGGCTTTTCTCAAAAGGTAACTGCTCCTTCCAAGTTTACATTGCTAGAGTTATTATTAGACTCTTATTATTAGAATCTTTCATTACAATCATTCTATTGTTAGAACATTATTGTTAGAATCTTATCATTATTGTTACAATCTCTCATTGTTGTTAAGAGCAACAACCACTAACTACTGGAGTGGGTAGCCATATCCAACTTCAAGGGATCCTCCCGACTCAGGGATCGAACCCATGTCTCTTGTTTTTCCTGCCTTGGCAGGCAGATTCTTTATTGCTGCACTACCTGGGAAGCCCCTAACATTTATGAGCATTTGTTATATAGCAGGCACTGATTATTCCGTTGTTAACACCCACAATGACTCTAAGATATATCTTTGTCTCCTTCATCTTGTAGGTAAGGAATGTGGAGCTCAAAACAGATGCCTTAATTGGTCAGGATCGCATAATGAATAAGATGTTTTTACAATTCAAATCCAGGTTTCCTGACTTTGAAGCCAGGGTCCTTCATCATTTCTAGTGCTTCTGCTTCCCAGCTCGTCTCTGCTGGTTCCCTCTGCTGGTTTGCATCCTGGGATTCATGTGAAACCAGGAGAGTTTCTACCAGGTCCTCTGAGTGGATGAACTCTGGGGTTTTACAGAAGCAGAGTTGGAAAATCACAAGGCCTGTTGCCAAATGCTCAAGCATTTCTTAAGATGTAGTCCATGTGGAGCTCCCTTGAGTTTTAGTAAAATGAAGATACCATGCCAAGGAGTGGGGTCCCCCATGTTTAGAGGGACTATGCAGACACTCTTGAGTTCATGGACCTAGGAGCATGTGGCCTCCCAGGCTGGCCCTGGGGAAAATGAACTTGACAGAGGTCAGCGTCACATCATAAGTGACCCATTGGGCGGTGATGCTGTGGAGACCTAGGAGGTGGGCCAGGTGTGTCCTCAGGGCTGGAATGTAACCACCCAGACAGGTGATAATACCATCAACTGAAGACTCGACCTGCCTGAGTGAAACACGGGGTGAGGATGTCTCAGCCGCGCCAAGCGTTCTGGTCGCAGGTCTGATTTCATAGAGATGCTGGTCCAGTTTCTTCCTTACGCTCCAGTTCTAGGCTCATGGCTCATCCTTCTGAGAAGACACTGGCCTCAGATAGAAGCTTTTCTGCAGGGAGACAATACACAGACCAGCCAGCTCAAGGCTGTTGGTCGTGTTGAAAATCACATTTCTCATTCTGAGTTAATAAGTGATGTCTGATTTTGATAGTTATTTTGGGTGGCTTGAGCCAGCCCCACCAATACCAGGCATTCCTGGGTGAGTAATTTTTCCTGGAACTGTGATGTCATGCTATTGTCTGTGCCCTACTTGACTATGAGCCCTTTGAAGTTGGCAGCTGGGGCTTACTCATATTAGTATCCGAGGGGATTATGACCTGGCCTGCAGCAGTTGTTCAGAAAGCACCTATTGACTGGATGTGAACCGTGCGATTTTTGGAGCTACTAAGCTGGGACTAGTAATGTATCGGGAGGCTTTATTTTCCTTGTCCCCGGGGTGCCTGACTCAGGAGCGATGTTTGCGCTCTCGTTCTTGTGAGGACCATGGGGCTGGTACAGGAGCCCCCGGTGGGAGGTGGTGGATGGTCTCAGATCCTAACGTCACCCACCCTGCTGGAGGGGGACCTCAGAGCAGGCTGTAACCATGAGGACTGGACTGATTTCCTGCACTTTAACCTTTTTCAGTTAGAGCAAGGTGGGTCTTGTTGTGGGGGCTTCCCAGGTGGCTCAGTGGTAAAGAATCTGCCTGCAATGCGGGAGACGAGGTTTGATCCCCGGGTCAGGAAGATCCCCTGGAGAAGCAAACGGCAACCCACTCCAGTATTCTGGCCTGGAGAATCCCATGGACAGAGGAGCCTGGTAGGTTTCAGTCCTTGGTGTCGCAAAGAGTTTGACACGACAGTGTGCACGCATGTGCGCGTGCGCACACACACACACACACACACACACACACACACACACAGAGCATCATCCGGTGTGAGAAAGGCGTGCTCCTCCATTGACCTGAGACAGTCTCCACCACTCAGTACACAGGCCCTCTCCCCGCTGGGGGGCCTTGGAGGGTGGGCGGCAGGTCTGGGGTCCCCTGATGCCTGCATGGATCAGGAGGGCTCCTCCGCTTCCCCCTGCCCCTCCCCTCCGCCCACGTGGATAAAGAGCACAAACCACCATGGGCAAGGAGGCTGCTGGAAGGTGACCTTCGGCTGACCCAGCATTGCGTATAAGGAGGTCACAGCCCCGATGATCACATTCCCTTTGATGGAGAAGACGTCTGAGGGCCTGGATGCTGGCGGGTACCCCGGGGCCCGGACAGTGTCCCCCACAGGCATTCCCTGAGAGCAGGGTCCCAAGGACCCCTGGGCTGGGCAGAGGGGCTGCCCTGTCACCTGGGCAGGAGGCTGGGGCTTCTCTGCCTGCAGACCCCCTGGGCCTGGCTTCCCCCGGAGGCTCCAGGCACCTGTGCTGGGTCTTTCAGAGACCCTGAAGCGAAGCACAGTGATCATTGGTGAGCTCCCAGATTTCGCCCTCCACCGCTGTATCCTTGGGCTTCTCTAGGGCTCTGGGACACCCTTCCAGCCCTCATCCCAGCAACCTCAGTCAGGCCACTCACACTCTGACTGGTACTAACGCTCCTAACGTCCTGGCTGAAGGAGGCATTGGCTGGGACAGTGGAGCTGGGGGTGTGCTCTGCCTATCAAGACCTCCCTTTCTTCCAGGACCCCGCGGCAGGTGGCCTGTGTTTCTAAAGGACTCAGACCCCCCTGCCCCAGGGTCTCCTGGGCCTGCTCACACCGCAGAATCTTCAAAGCCAAAGTTAACCCAGTGATCCCAGCAGAGAGGCCTGAGGTCTCCAGGGAAGGGTTGGAAAACAGGCCAGAGAAGCAGCCAGTGGCCTGTGGCCGCGGGCCTTGGGGAGGCCCGACTGTCACTGGGGTGGGGACGCTGACACGGGGCTCCTGGGGGCCCCGGCCTTAGGGGTCAGCCTCAGGCTGCTTTGGGCTGTGTTCCTAGTTGTGTGGCAAACACCCCGATGGGCCTCCATGTTCTCTCCCATGGCAGGAAAATACTGGAGTCCACAGGTGGTTCCCAGACTTGACTCCAGCAGCGAAACCCTCTCGTGACTCACGACAGAGGCTCCCTGCGCCGAGTCCAGAGGGACTGAGACACCCTCTGTGAGGCGGGGGCGGTTGTGCCTTGAGTTTTGCCCGCCGGCCTCTCCCTGGCCTCTCTCGGTGGTTTCCTGCGCCTCTTGAAAGTATCTTCCACCTGTAAGGACCACATTGTGATGCTGCTGCCTGAATTTCCTAGAAGGCTTCTTGCAGGGTGAGCTCTGACTTTCTTTTGTTTTGAACTGTAGACTTTGTTTTTTCTTCCAGTTTTGTGGAAATAGAATTGACATGTTGTTTAGTTGGTTAGTTGTATCTGACTTTTGTGACCCCACGGACTATAGCCCACCAGGCTCTGCTGTCTGTGGGATTTTCCTAGGCAAGAATACTGGAGCAGGTTGTCATTTCCTTCTCCAGGGGATCTTCCCGCCATAGGGAGTGAACTCTCAGCTCCTGCATTGGCAGGTGGATTCCTTACCACTACGCCCCTAGGGAAGCCCATAATTGACATATAGCCCGGATAAGTTTAATGTATACAGCATGGCGATTTGATTCATGTACATCAAGAAATGATGACCACAGTAAGTTTACTGAACATCTCTCATCAGACATAAAAATAAAAGAAATAAATTTCTTTTCTTGTGATGAAAACTGTTAGGATTTATTCTTGAAACAGCTTTCATATATAACATACAGCAGGGTTAATTATGGGGATTCCCTGGTGGGTCAGGTGGTAAGGAATCTGCCTGCAATGTGGGAGACCTGGGTTCGATCCCTGGGTCAGGAAGATCCCCTGGACGAGGGCATGGCAGCCCACTCCAGTATTCTTGCCTGGAGAATTCCACGGACAGAGGAGCCTGGTGGGCTACAGTCTATGTGGCCACATATTTATCACGCTGTATGTTACATCCCTAGTACTTATTTATAACTGGAAGTGTGTGCATTTTGCCTATCTTCATCCAATTTCCCTTCTTCTCCCCTCAGTTTTCAAGTGAATATGACCAAATGAGCATTGGAATAGTTGTAACTGTTTTTTAATTTAAAAAAATTGACTGGAGTATAGTTGATTTACAGTATTGTTAGTTTCAGATGTATAGCAAAGTGATTCAGTTATATACATATGTATGTATATATCCATTCTTTTTCAGATTCTTTCCCCATGGAAGTTATTATAGAATATTGAGCAGAATTTTCCATGCCATACAGTAAGTCCTTGTTGGTTTTATATTATAATATTTTATATATATAATTGTATTTTATTTTACATATATATTTTACATATAAAATAGTGTGTGTTTGTTAATCCTAAACTCCTGATTTAGCTCTCCCTGCAAAGTCTGCATTGGTAACTCTAAGTGAACTTATTTACTGAAAAGCAGCAGGCTCACAGATTTTAAAAAGAAACTGATAGCTGTAACCTTGACCCAGGAGGGATCGGGGCTGAGGCGGGGCCAGGGAGCGTCTGGACCCAGGTTAGCCGGGCGTGCGCAGGGATTATACTCTGTGCACGAGGGGAGGCCGGGAACACGAAGTGAGCAGGGGCCGTTAGTAGACCGAGAGCCCGTGGAATGCTCTTTCCTCGTGGATTGTGCCGGGGGCAAGCACAGCCATGGTTCCAGAGAGTTCAGCTGAGCCCCTGAGGGCAGGTATGAGGAGGGCAGGTGCAGGGGCCCCGGAAGGGCAGTTTCAGGGCAGAGACACCTGACGCTGTGGAAAGCATCCTTGAGCCCACGTCCCACTCGGTCTTCATCATCCTCCAGGTGATGCAGGACTTATCGCTCTCCTTTCACAGGTGGGAAGTGCAGAGAGATGCAGCAGTTTGCTCCGGGTCACGAAAGCCATAAATGCAAGATACAGGCTTAGAACTTGAGTCACCTGGACCCGGCCCCACACCCGCACCGAGGGGCAAGGCAGCCCTTCTGAAACGGGAAGGGCGTCACCCGCAAGCGCCACTTGGGTAAAGCTGCCGGGGCAGCCTGTGTGTTTTGAAATATCTCCCAATGCAGGGGGTGCATTGGCGGAGCTTTGTCCTTTCCCACCCCAGCTGCCGCACGGAGCAGCCTGCACATCCTGCCATGAGCTCTAGAAAATCCTCGGGAGGCTCAGGGCTGCCACGTCCCTGCCCTGGCTGATGGCTGAAGCCTGAAATTCTTCTTTGTTATGTAACATTCCCGTGCCGCCCCCACCCCCCCCCCCCCACGTCAATGAGAAGGAGCCCAGCCGTCAATAGGAGGCTCCCCTAATGGAAGCCCTTGGGAGACAGCTTGGACATTCCCCAGGATTCAAACCCTGACTCAGACCCTGCCATCTGTGTGAGCCTAGCAAGACATTCAATACCCTAGGTCTCACTTTGGTTTCTCCAAAGATGGGAGCTATTGTGCATCCCATTTGCTCAGCTGTTGTGAAGCTTAAATGTGATAATTAGGCATTCAGTAGAGCTTGGTAAATTTTAAAGTGCTGTGAAAAATAAGGGATGGCTGAGCCAGGACAGGAAACAGAGCAACAGCAGCATATTATTGTCAACTGCGTGGTTATCTCAGGGGCCTCCCTGCAGCAGGTTGGTGGGAGGACAGGGTGCAGAGGCTGAGTACCGGTCAGCCTGGAGGGGGCGCCAGGGAGGACAGAAAGTGCAGGGCGGGAGAGCAGGGCCCAGGAACTCGAATCCCGGCCAGCCATCTGCTTTATAACGTGAAGCTTTATTGCAACACTGTCACAATAATTTGTTTAGTATTGCCTTTGGCTGCTTTCTCATCCTACTGGAAGACGAGCAGTTTTGACACAGGCTGGATCAGCCGGCAAGGCCTAAAATATTTACAGTCTGCTTCTTTCCAGAAAAAGTTTATCTGATGCTGCTTTAAAGCAACTCTGAATTTACAATAACACAAAGGACGGTGACATCGTGTTTTCCATTGCCGAGTGACAGATCACTGCAAATTTAGTTGCTCAAGATCATGAGCGAACGTAAGTTCTTGTGTCTGATGGACGGTGAAGACAAACAATACTGAACTGGCAGAGTCTGGAGCAGAGGAAGTTTTATGGAGGGCCACGCAAGGAGGCGAGTGGTTCCTGCCCCCCAACACCTCACTCTCCCAAGGATTTCAGCTATTTCATCTATAGTAGAGTGTATATGTTAATCCCAGTTTCCCAGTGCACCGCTGTCCTCACTTATCCTTGGTAAACGAAAGTTTGTTAAGTACATCCATGACTCTGCTTCTGTATCAGCAGAACATTCATTGCTCTGCATTTTCTAAGTTGGGGTGTGATTGCTTTACCACGCTGTGTTAGTTTTTGTTGCAGAGCAAAGTGAACCAGCTGTGTGCATGCATGTGTCCCCTCCTGCTGGAGCCCCCCGCCCAGGTCATCACAGAGCACTGGGCTGACCTCCGTGCACTTCGCAGCAGGTTCCCGCTGCCTGGCTGTTTCACACGAGGTCGTGTGTTACCTCAATGCTGCTTCCCCGACTAGCCCCACTCTCTCCTCCCCCACCCCCACTGTGTCCACAAGTGCGTTCTCCATGTCTGTGTTCCTGCCCTGCAGAGATGCCCACCTGTACCATTTTTCTAGATTTCATATACGAGTATGTGAGTTATATACAGTGTTTGTTTTGCTCTTTCTGGCTTCCTTCATGCTGTATAACAGACTCTAGTTTCATCCAAATCACTACAAATGACCCAATCTTGTTTCTTTTTTTTTTTTTTTTTACTAATATTCTTTTGTATATATGTGCAGCATCTTTTTTTAATCCATTCATCTGCCGATGGACATTTAGGTGCTTCCGTGTCCTGGCTATTGAAAATAGTGCTGCAGTGAACAGTGGAGTACATGTCTCTCTTTGAATATGGTCTTCTCAGGGTAAGTGCCCAGTAGGGGACTGTTGGGTCGTTCGGTAGTTAATCACAAGGTGAGGGAGGGGTGGAGTTGCTTGTTCAAGCTTCCTGGGACAGGACTCCTTTGTCCAAATAGGTCGGGTCATGCTGTTCCTATAAACCTCCAATAAGGACAATGTTCTTCTCGGTTCTGCCACTTTTCATCTCTGTATGAATGGAAAATCCTTATACTCTAAAGGTCAGAACCTTGAGCACAGGCTCCCCTATATATTTCCGGCTATAAGCAACATTCTTAACTCTAAATAAAAGCATAGACTACAAAGGCTAAAGTCAAAGAAGCAGATCTCATATGGAGGCAGTGTTGTTCTTCCCTGTTACAAAATGACATGTATTTATTATCTCATAATGGCCACGAGACGGCCGTCAGGGCGTGAGTTATATGAGTCTTCTGCTCAGGGTCTCCTGCGGCTGAAATCTAAGCAGTGGGTGGGATAATAATTTTACCTGAGGCTCAAAGTTCTCTTACCAGGCCCATCGGTTGTTGGCAGAATTCCTTGCTTTGTGAGTTTAGGACTGTGGTGCCGTTCCCTTGGTAGCTGCAGGCCAGGAGCTGGTTTCAAGCCCACCCTTGCCTCTTGGCCCCCTCTCGCTGAGTGCCAGCTAGCTTCTTCAAGGCATGTAACGCGACGTCTCTACTGTTTTGAATTTCTCTTTGAGGGTTCTTCCCCGGTGGCTCAGACGGTAAAGCATCTGCCTACAATGCAGAAGATTGGTTTCAATCCCTGGGTCGGGAAGATCCCCTGGAGAAGGAAATGGCTACCCACTCCAGTACTCTTGCCTGGAAAATCCCATGGATGGAGGAGCCTGGTAGGCTACAGTCCATGGGGTTGCAAAGAGTCGGACACGACTGAGCGACTTCACTTTCTCTTTGAGGGTCACTCCGTCAGGTCAGACCCGGTCAGGCTCACTGCCTTTTTGGATGAACTCAGAGTCAACTAATTGGAGACCCTACTTACATCTTAAAAATCTGGCACTCTCGTAACAGGATTGCTATCGCATCATATCTCAGGGGCTGCCCTTGTCCTAGGAGAGGGGAGTATAGAAATCTGCCCACTCCAACCACTCAGACGGATCTAGAGTGCAGAATACTTATAACACAACTATGTGTCGTCAAATAAGTGAAAAGGAAGGGGGACTCATTGAGATTAAAAGAAGGCAGAAAATGTAGCCGTCCAATGCAGTG